TCTGGTTCTGAATCAGTGAGGTTTAGAACTTCAATGCAATTCCTGATGTTCTTCTTGAAATGAACTTTTTTTGTACTTGAATATTTATTCTACAAAATATTTCTTTTAAAATCATTTTATTTATAATGAAGTTTTGTCATTTGCTTTGATTAAAGGGTAATATGGATTGGGATTTTTAATGCAATTAAAATGGAGAAGTTTTGTCATTTGCTTTGATTAAAGGGTAATATGGATTGGGATTTTTAATGCAATTAAAATGGAGAAGTTTTGTCATTTGCTTTGATTAAAGGGTAATATGGATTGGGATTTTTAATGCAATTAAAATGGAGAAGTTTTGTCATTTGCTTTGATTAAAGGGTAATATGGATTGGGATTTTTAATGCAATTAAAATGGACAAAACTTTCTAATTTTTGTAGAATATAACTCACATCTATTGATGTGATAAATTATTGGATATTGCTTATCTATTGACACTCACCACTGATAGTTGGGTTTAGCTTCTCTCCGTATCTGTGTGGTTTCAGCATCTTTATTGGCATGGCATGCAGTAGCATATCCATAGCTTTACAGTGTCTTTAGAAGTGAAGTGTTTTTATCCGTTAATTAAATTTATAGCCTTTCAAAATGGAGACATTATTGTTAAATGGTAAGATACAAGTTAAAGGTGATTCATCTACCAGTTGTACTAATTAAAATAAGCCTAAGTCAAGAAAGCATGATTAAAAATTAGATATGGTTTGAGACCCCCAGAATGTGGAATATAAAGCAATGCTGCTAGGCTGGATGCAGATTCCAATAAGGGGCACCATTTATTGCAATACCATGTTTCCATTCTAAATAGATTCTTTTGTTTAGAGTACAGGTTCTGTTCCTCAGTGAGAAAAGCTGGTTTTGTAATTTCCTGCTTCTGATAATATCCAGACACATTCAAGTCAATAATGATGAGATCCTTATAAGAAAAGACACATTGACAGATGTTCCTTGTTAGGCAGCAATTTACTGTGGATTTTTTTCAGTAAGCTACAAGTTTCAAGGCATTGCCTTAAATCTTGTGTTAGAAGAATTACATGATTGGAAAGCAAAGGCTTTTTTTCATATGTCATAAACCAAACAGTAACATCCATGCTTCTTTTATACTATATAGAATTTTTCTTTACTGCCAGCAATTTCAATCCAATTCTGTAATTTAGTGCAAAACTTATTTAAACCTTAAGACTTATTTCTGAGTAAGCATGCATGGGATTGCCCTGTCAATGTTTTAAGTCTGCTTCAAATTGTGGCCATTGTTTTGTTTAGATTTATTTTCTTATATATATAAGCAGTAGATCCCAAACCCTGGCCACCTTTGTTTACTTCTTGTGCCTTTCACAGCATTCAGTTGCTGTTGCTGTTCAGCATGCTGTTAAAAAATGTTGTGTTTTCGTTCAGATCCAGTGCTCTTAATTGCCCCTGTAAACAATTATGTACTGTATGTCTTTCAAATAACATATACAAGCCATTTGTTCACCCAAGTTGGCAGCTACAGATTTTTAAGAGATTGTTGACCTAGATGCTTCTGTATTTTCCTGGCATCTACCTTTACATGAACATTTTGAGCACTGATCCTAGAATTACTTGGTGAGTACTTATAATGTAACATCTCCAGATACATAATTAAAATGCCATTAATTTTTTTTTTTAATCTTCCCCGTGAAACTGAGCTACTATCATTTTACCTTGGCCACTTACCTGGCATTTTTTTAAACCAGAACACCAAAATTTGTTGTTGAATAACAACATAATATCCATGAATTTAATCACCTGAAATTTGGCAAGATTTATCACCTATGCTGGAAAATAATTCCAATTCTGCCAAGAAATGAAATGATACTAGCAGTTCTCAAAGGAAGAAAAAACATTTGCCTTCAATGCATCACCCTGCAAACTTGGCTAAATTTCAGATTGTTTTTAATTGAAAGCAAAGTAGAAAATTAAGAAATACATTCTGTCACACAGGAAAAAAGCAATTGCAATTTGATATTTCTAAATTATAATTAACAAGAAAATGTAGAGGTTTGCAGTTTCCAATCAAGTTTAAGATGTGAGCCTAAGCCTCATTTAGTTCATCAGGTTATCACTGGTGGAAAGCAGACAGCCCGGGCAGAAACAAAGACCAGCCCCTTTAGGATGTACTGGAGGAGCTAATGTAGTGCCAGGAAGAGGATGCCCTCATCCAGGTGCACCTCCTGGGTCACACAAGGGAGAGCTGCACAGACAATGTAGCCAGTTCTTCAATTTGGCCCCAAGCTGCAGAACTTGGTTTGGCAAGGCTACGCAAAAAGTGCATCTTTGTTTCTGCTGCTCAAGCAAGGATGGCATTCTGCCTTTCTTTCAGAAGGCATCCTTTGCCAGGGTTTGCTATACTACTGCTGCTTTCTGATATATCTCTGTCCTCCTTCCTACCATTCTCTTGCATTCCAGTGACTAGATGGAGAGCACAAGGAAGCCATGAGCAATGCCAGCCTCAGTCACCTGCTCTGCTGTCACCCCATCTCCAGCTAGAGCAGGCAGGAGGAATGGACAGCAGACAAAAGGGAGTGCCTCTTCCATACTGTTTTCCCTACCCTCATCACAGTTCCTCACTAACAGAAGAGTCATTTTCAGCAAGTTATTCAGAAAATAAATGAGAGCTGGCACTGGAGACCTCAGCCATAAACCAACATAAATAAGGTACCTCCCTTATGTAGCCTTATCAGAGTATATTTGATGTTATTTACATTGAAATAAATAGTGCACACCTAATTCTTTCTTCAGTTTTGCACTCTTCACTTTTTGTTTATAGACTGCTGACTCCATATAGACTCATTTCCCATCTCCTTGCTGAGCCTCTGGATTGAGTTATATACTCTGTTAGTACAGTACTAGTAGTCATAGTGGAATGTTTATATCTATATGTAGATGCTTTGGCAATGGTAACAATACCTAGAAGGTTTCTACCCTTACAGATTATTCCATCCATGGCTCCATCTTATGTACATTGCAGTCTCCTTGCAGCTGTTTCAGAGTGGGAAGTCTATCACTGAACTAATCTGTGGACTGGATTCAGTAATGCCATTTGCTTTCCCCCCAAAAGTGACTATTGATAAAAAAAAAAAAATGCTGCACACTTTATGTGAAGTTTGATTATGAAGCAATTTGCTTTGACAATTCAAAAGCCCTAAATATGCCATTTATAAGTCATAAAACCCAACACAGGATCTCACGAAGGTCAATTTAGCAAGACAGATTGTAACATTTTTTTATTAAATATGTAAAAAGATAAACGCAAGTCAAATTATTCACATATTCAGAGACAAAAAAAGTATATTCTGTCATGCGACAATTGGTGGGTAATGCAAAATGACTGATACATCTGAATAAGACTTTTTGCATCTATTATGTCATTATCTATTTATAATTAACAATACATGTTTACATTCCTTTCAGTTTACATTTAATATATAACCAAAGCTTTATGGTGTGCTATTTAGTAAAAGTAATTGCAAATGCATATTAAAACTGTAACGAAATAACAGGATTACTCACCACGGGGGAGGGGGGTCCTCTTTCCCTTCCAAGAGTCTCTCACTCCCCTCAGCACAACTGAGCAGATCAGGTTTTATATTAAATTATTACACTGCTGCCCCCTAAGCCAGCCACTTCTCGTCTCCAAACAGGGAAAAAATGCTCCATAGACTAGTCATGCAAAGGGGAATGAAGAAAACCAGATACATAACCCTCCCCCTATGGACACAAAATATTCCTATGTGACAGGACTGGGGAGCAGAGAGGCTTTGGAAGAGAGCAATTTAGAAACAAACCTTCAAAAGCCCAAAAAGCGCTTCAAAAGGAAGTATTTTAAAGTTTTCCCAGAAGGAAAAAGAAACACAAGACATGACTGCATTGATGGCAGTGGGAGTGTTTGAAGATGACTCCCTGTTTTTTTTTTAACTACAAGGAGCATTTTGGAGGTGGCATAACAATAATAAAAGTTATAAATATTATAAAGCAGAATTTTTGCTGGATTATGACAGCATACTGCATCCTTTGGAAAGTAAGGCTGTTATTTATGAGTTTGATGATGCCTGCCAAGGGAAACCAAATCCTTTCCCTTAAAAATATTACAAGATTTTCTAGGAAAGATGATAATTTTATTTTTCATTATGATGAGTTGGCATAGTATGGCTGTTGTAAATTCTTCTAACCTGAAGAGCGGAACTAAACTTCTGTTGAGCTACAGGATTAAAGAGAGATTGTAATACATGCTGCCTGAGCTGTAATTAAATAAGAGTCATTCTGAAGCAAGAGATTTTAGAGAAAAAAATCTTTGAAAGATGCAACATATCATTAAATGAATAGAACTACCATTTATGACCACTGCAGTTTACTAGAGTAGACTGAGACCTTCAGTGATGGTAACATGTAGGTTGACTTCTATTTTATTTTTGCTAGAGTACCTAAAACCAATCAAATTTAAAACTGAGTAAAACATAAAACAGTGAATACAATGGAAAAATACTATAACTAGACTATGAAAATGTGCAATTTAAACAATAAGGAATGTTTTAATATGGTTTATTATATTTCTATTATAAAAATGCCACAATCTAAGTGCAAATTTAACAAGAAGTTAATAGTAGAACTCATGGTACTGAATATTTCTATAATCCGGCAATTTGTTTCTCCATGCTTCCAATCCATTCAGGACTGCTTAGCTTGTGTTTCTGGATAATGTATCTCCCACCAGTACAACTTGGAAACTGGCACTGCATCTGTGTGGACTTGAGTTGCTCACTGACTTTTAGGTTCCAAAGACGAGTATGAAGGCCTTTAGAAGATAAACTGTATAATTGTGCTAGTAAATATTTTGACATGCCCAATCACTAGTTTCTCCCCTCGCACAGAAGAAAAAGTAAAAGGGTTGTTTTCATGGTCAATATAGCCAGCAGTGGGAGTTGGAATGTAAGTGACACCTTCAGATACAGATACTGTGGTGAAAATCTGTATAAATGCTTAAACTGACAAATACTGAATACAGAATTGAAATAGGAATAACTTTCTAGAAGGAAGAGTGTCCAAAGAAAGATTAGGCAGACATGTATGCATCTTCCAATACTATAGGATACACTGTATAGCTTTCTAACATGCTTTTGAGTATGACATCAGAAACATTACAGTTCTAGTATGTGTGCTTTTGTTCTAATTAGGGAAAATTATTTAAATTTGATTATTTCACTTATTTCCCCCTTTTGCAGTTTGACCAAATTTATGTCCAAGTGGACCAAATTACCATGAAATGTGAGAAACCTAACTGAATAGTATTTTCTGTTGTAAGAGATGTCCATATAAATAGTTTTGAACAAATTACAAATGTTATCATACTTAAGACAAAAGGAAAAATAAATATATATATATTATATATATTTATATATTTTTTTAAAAGCTGAACAAATTTCAAGCAGCCAGATAGTGAAGTTGCAGTGGTAGAAACTGGGAACAAAGCTTGGAGACCTTCTTAGGTGCAAATGCTGATAGAAGACTTCTGCAAAACACATCTTGGCAAATTGGCTGACACTCACTATGGTACATTTATGTTAATGGCAGACAGAGAGTGATTGGTTTCAAGTCTGAGGCCACACACATTCCATTCTTCCAAAGAAAGTTCCCACAGAAAATCAGAAGCAGCCAGTGTGCCAGATGGTCAGTATTCTTCCTGCTGCTGGGGCTGTTCATGAACCTGTTCCTCACCTTCATGTTCTTCTGTGTGGCTCTCCTATATAAGGTAGAAAGCAACAAAACAAACTAACTTGATCAGATACTGAAAGCAAAATTCTGTCTGCTTGTTTTTCTGAAATTTTTTTTAGTAGAGTTCAATATTTCTATCTTTGCCAAATAGAATGATTGTTAAAACCAAAATCATTAGGAGTCTTATACACATTCCAGAATTACTCACATTTTGATTTTAATGTAAAACTAGGACTGTGTGTGAAGGAGAGATATAGAGTAAGGCTGCTTGAAACCTATAGACAAGGGAATTGAATTTCAAATATTTATATGATTCAGTGTGGATCACAGGATTGTAACCTGACATTTTCTCTGTATGAATCAGCTGTAACATTATTAAGCTAACACTAAGATGCATGGAATATACATTTTGCAGAAGGCATATTTGTTTTGTTACATGAATATATCTTGCTTAATAAGAACTATCTATTGCTCTGAATTTTAGGTCCAATCTGCATCAACTCCTCCAGGTTCTTTAATCATGAAAGATATTCATAATTCTCTTTTGGACTATAATTTCTGCAAAGAAATTCTGTGCATCAGCTAAAATCACTTTGTGGAATAACCAGCACAGAAAGGCAACATTGGAAGTCCTTGAATATGAATGCTAATTCAATTAAAGCCACATTATTTATACTACGGTGTAAAGAAAAAGATGATGAAGACTTACATGTTCTTCTGAAGCATAGAGAACTTCCATTAACCGTTGAACAAGATCATTGTTTTCTTCTCCATGTTCTTGACAGAGAAGCTCAATCTCCCTTAACTTCCCAAAATAGAAATCTCTTTCCTTTTCCACACCTTCAAGTGCAAGTTTTAATGAATGTACCTGTAAAAATAAAACATTTATAAATATTAGATAACTGTATATTTATATAGCCAATTTGAATATCTGCACAACTGCTAGACAAACAGAATGTTCACATGCATTCAACACAAGTAGAAACAAATTTGTACTCCATACTGAAGAATTCAGTAGTTTTTTTGTTCTTATTTTGATGTTTCTCCATAATACATCACAAGTGATCTCTAACACAATTTGGACAAGCTTTAAAATGGTGGTCCAGTGCTATACACGCTAGCAAAAAGGATATTCCAAAGCCTAACATTAAACCAGCACGTTAGTCATGGCAAGATTACATACCAAGGGAGAGAATGGATATTTCTCTCAAGTGAGTGTTAGAATCAAGGAAAATGACTAGACCATAATCAGAGCCCAGGTCATAAACAACAGCTCAACTGTGTCCTCCGTTTTGTTTTATAGAAATCATTATTAATAATTTCATTAAATATATTCCCTTGTATTTACACATTTGTTATTTATCGTAGCAGGCAATCTCTCAGAATGTTAATGCAGGACAGAATCTGATGCTCTTTATGTAATAGTAGACAAGCCTACCACATCTATTCTCATATCAGGCTGCTGGATAATGCTGGACAATGGGAATATCACTTTGTACAAATATACAGTCATGTGAAAAAGAAAGTACACCCCACTGAATTTTTTGACTTTTTCAACATATTTCAACATACAGATATTTGATCTTCTTTTCAACAGTATTGATAAAGGGAATATAACAAATATCATACACTATTTACATTTTGTAGTCCACTGTATAATTTAAATAAGCATAATTGCAAATTTTGCACGTGGAAAAAGTAACTACACCCTTGACTGTAATGCGTGATACTGCCCCCTTTGGCAGAAACAATCTCAAGTAGGCATTTCTTATAACTGTCTACCAGTCTCTGACATCAACTGGAAGGAATTTTTTCCTATTCCTCCATGCAGAATTTTTCCAGCTGTGCTATGTTTGAAAAAGTCAAAAACGTCAATGGAAGATACTTACTTTTTCACATGACTGTACATACAGCCATACAGGACAGGGATTTTGTTTAATTTCCTATGGAATATCCTGTTTGTTGTGAAAATAAAAACATATTCATTGATCTGTTTCAGAAATCACAGTGATACATACTACAAGGTAGTCTTTGGTTAATGACCACTTATTCAGTAACCGTTCAAAGTTATGACAGCGCTGAACAACTGGTGGTTACGACCCATCCTCAAAGTTCTGTCATTCCCAGCACCCCTGCGGTCACCTGATCGTGATCTGGGTGCTTAGCAACCGGCTTGCACTTATAGGTGCAGTGTCCTGCAGTCGTGTGATCACAATTTGTGACGTTCCCTGCCAGCTTCCCACAAACAAAGTCAATGGGGAAGCTGGCAGGGAAGGTCACAAGTTGCTCAGGTAAGTCCTCCTACCTGCACACCCTCCCTGAGACTTGCTGCGCTTGCACCATGCCTCCCCTGCCACTCATGCACCCTTCCCACCCAGCAGCAGCCACCCCAAGCCCTGCTGCACTCCATCACACCTGCACCCTCTCCCACCTGGCAGCAGCCACCCCAAGCCCCACCATGCTGTGCCTCTCTGGCCATCCACACACCCCCTTGCTCCCTCTCCTACTCAGCAGCAGCCACTTACCTGCCTGTCAGCCTGCTCGCAAGCCACCTGGGACTTGCAACTTCCTGCTGGCTTCCGCACTGACTTTGGTTGTTGGAAGCTGGCAGGAAGTTGCAAGGAGATGCTCACTTAATGACTCACAATCCTCGCTGAATGATGGCAATGGGGATAGCAGGGATTGCCATTGCTAAACAATGCAGTCATGTGACATCACACTTTACAACAGCATCACTTGGCAATGGAAATTCCAGTCCCAACTGTTGTCATAACTCGAGGACTACCTATACCTCAGGATATTGTCACTTTCCTTCCTTTCTGCTCCTCTTGTATCCCCTCACTTCTGAACTGGAAAAGCTATGATTATCGCAAACTGGCTCCAAGCCAGAATTTTAAGCCATTCTTAATTTGGAATTTTGGAAACAAACTTTTCTCAAGTATAGAGATGGTCTGTAACAAGAAAAGCTAGAACTACAGGTAGTCCTCATTTAGCAACCACAATTGGGACCGGCAACTTGGTCACTAGGCAAAGCAGTCGCTAAGCAGGAAATTACATGACCAGGATTGTGCTTTCTAGCTTGAAACTGACAAGAGAAATCAGTTTCACACCTTCAGCTTTTGTTGCCTCCTAATCACGCCTCCACCTTTTGGAATGCTCACCCCACTGCTGGATAATTAACAAGAAGGGAATTAATGTTTGTATTTCTATTCATTGGAGTGAAAGAGATTAGAAGAGAGTAATCACATTGAAAGCAATGTGCTGGTGCCAACAGCCACTCAGCAAACAGCTAGTGTGTTCCCCATTGTGTGCCTACTAACTGTATTCTCTTCTAATCCCTTCATCTCCAATCTCTCTGCTCTGTGTAGGGGGGAGGGCAGAGGAGAGATTGTCTACATAAATTGCTTGGGCGGGGGCCTCTTTTCTTGCAGGGTGAGGGGAGAAGAGGTGCTGTAGTTGGCACATGGGAGGGGGAGGAGGACAGGGAAGTGCCAGGGCAACTTGAGCACTGATTGGGGTGGGGAAGATAGAGGCTCGTGGGTGTTTCCTCTCTCTTATTTTGCAGACTCGGGCAGGGATGGTGCTTTTGGACGGGAGAGGATTGGTGAGGGGAGAAGGGGGGCTTCCAGTTGCACATATTGCGGAGGGGCATCCCTAGCCCATTATGGGTGCTGAAAGGGAAGTGGAAGTGGTAAAGAACAGGGCTTTGCTGAGGGCCCTGTTGCACGCAGCTCCCAATTGGAGCAGAGTGGCAAGTCAGCTTCCCTCATCTGCTGCTCCTGTTTGGAACCTTTACTCTTGCTTGGTCATGGGGGAGATCAGGCATCTGCCTTGGAAAGATGCCTGTATTTCTCAGCACTGAGGATACCATTGATCCCCAACTCCATTTGCAGAAATGCAGCCCCAAACTTGCTTCACTGTTGCCTGCAGACATTCATTATTGTACCGCTCTCAAGCCCTTTGGTGAACAAACTGCCTCCTGCTATAGCCCAATATTTCAAATTTGGACTCATCAGTCCAGAGCACTTGCTTCCATTTTTCTGTACCCCAGTTCCTATGTTTTCATGCATAGTTGAGTTGCTTAGCCTTGTTTCCACATTAGAGGTATGGCTTTTTGGCCACAATTCTTCCATGAAGACCACTTCTGGCCAGACCTCTCCAGGCAGTAGATGGGTGTACCTGGGTCCCACTGGTTTCTGCCAGTTCTGTGCTGATAGCACTGCTGGACATTTTCCAGTGTCAAAGGGAAGTAAGCATGATGTGT